TAGGGTTACATTTTTTCACCGTTTGACAGGCGATGGTGCTCCTTTTTGTAGATTGCAATGAATATTTCACTGTAAAAACATTTTTGCCATGATCTTGTACAGGTGCGTGCTAGATATTACTGAATAAATTCACTTTTAGAATTTTTTGACTCAGTTCTTTCCAAAACATTGATCGACTACTTAAAAGAAATAAACCTGTATTCTAAGATTTAACTTAAACACTATAAGACTTTTTAGTAAAACAATCTGGAACCAAGTGATCCCTCGGAAGCATTAATCACAACAATACAAACAAGAATTTGTAACAGAGTAGTTACCAACATCCCCCGCCTCGGGAAGCATTAAATTGTGCTATTTCAAAAAATTGAGGTATGGATCTAAACACTTTCAGTCCAAAATTATGATCAATGCTAGATCTGCAAATACAAAAAAATTATTAAAGAAATAAAATGAAACACGGAATTTAAAAATCTATCATGTTAAGATTTGACCTCTAAGTGTGACCTTGACCTTGGAGGAAGGGGTGCAGGTGTTGTGCATGACATATCGTATTATTATTGCAACTATTTGTGCTAAGTATTTTTAAAATATTTTGAACTATGAAGAAGTTATAGATCGGACACAAAATATACCCTATTACAGACTATGTTAATCTTTGATCTCTAAGTGTGACCTTGGATGTAGGGACCCATATTTTAGCTTGATTTAGAGATTGTTTTGGTGTAGGTTGTAAATGCATTGAATGGTCTATAGTATATGGTGGAAACTGTATCAACTTGTGTTTGGTTGTAATTCAAATCTGCCTGGTGTTCTTACAGATAAGCCACTAGCTCTGGAGCAAACAACACGTTAGAAGTCCTCATAAGAGTCATTGCCATCACACAATTAGAGCATCAGAAGAATATTATCAGCATAATTATAAACTTAATTACAAGAGAGATGATAATAAATGATGGAAAAGACCAGGGACAGTCATAGGACAGGATAACAAAGTTGTGTTTGTTAAGCATGACTGTGAATAAGTTAAAGTCCATTCCTGTCCTTGAACGGTTCGAAATTTAATATGAATGAAAACGCTGTATACAATGACAAATGAAAGTATTGTAGAGACAGTTTGATAATTATTTACCATGGCCTTGAACGTTTAGAAGGAACAGGCGCTGGCAAAAATTCAGATTATGACGAACATAAGGAACAAGTAGTGCACGGAGCAGTTCAGCCAGAGGTAATATTTTAGAAAACAGTCTGATGTACATATTATATTCAAACACAACCTGTTGTTACACTTGAAATGAAGCCAAAAATATAGTCTGTAGATGAACAGATAATGAATGGAAACAAAGGCAGTGACAAATGGGTAAAATCCATAGTTTTTCGTACGGTTAGGTCTGGAAGACATAATTTGGCATATTTGAACACCCAAAATAACTTTAAAGACAAGCCTTAAGAAAAATATAATATCACTTCCAAATCCAAATTCTCAGATGTTAAAGGAAATAAGTAATATGTTTTATGATTTTGTGTGGCAAGGTACACCAAAGATGAAATCTTCTGTATTGGTGAAAGAATATGTAAATGGTGGTCTAAAAATGATTGATGTATGTGCTTACATGAAAAGTTTAAAATTTTCATGGTTAAGAAGAATTGTATCATCTGAATGTGATAAATGTTACACTATTTTAGATAACTTTTTAGATATTAAGAAGCTATTTAATTGTGGAAAGTTATATACAGCATATATATAATAATATTTTGAAAAATTCATTTTGGAAAGTTGTTTTAGGTGCTTATGTAGAATTTGTAGAAAAAACACCGATTATTTCTATGGAAATGTTGTTAGAAATGCCTCTGTTCTATAACCAATATATTTTGATGGATAGAAAACCTATTTTTATAAAAACATGGTATGATAAAGGTATAAGGTTTATCAAAGATATTATGAATGTGAATGGTATTTTCCTTGAAAGGAATGAATTGGAAGCAAGATAAAGTAAACTTCATTTAATATGAATTAATTACAAGTGCTGTCAAGAAATACAGAAGTGTATTAAGTTTAAAGTTATGTGATAATTATGAAATTGCCTCCTATTCTCCCATTATATGTTGTTATTTAAAGCCTAAACTACTTTGTGTTGAAGGTACATCAGACATGTACAATATATACATAAAAAATGATGATATGCCAACTTGTCAGACTAAATGGAACACTTGCTTTCAATTAAGTCAATCTGACTGGAATAAATACATAGTTGGGTTTTGACATTACCAATGATTCTACTTGCAATGGTTTCAGACAAGACTAACACATAAGAATATTAGCTACTAAATTACCTTCTTTTGAAAATGGAATTTATCTGTTACAAGTATGTTACTTTTTGTAAATCAGAACATGAAACATTGTTACACCTATTTTGGGAATGCTCATTTGTCAAAATATTGATTACAGAAATTATTAAAATTGTTAGGAATCATGATGCTTTATTTGATATTAATTGTCAAACTTTTATATTAGGTTATAACAAAAAAGAGCCAGTCAAGTACAATATCCTATGTCTAGAGAATAAAAGAGATATGTTTATTTATATGTAGGAGAAAAAAATATTTTACCAATTATAGATGGATTAATTTAGAAGTTTTAAATTAGCCTCTTCAATTATTGATCCATGTGCAACAAATACAAAAGATAACATAAGAAAATTGGACAATTGTTCAAAAAAATCATTAATTCTTTTTAAAGTAATATAAATTTATAATTTATTAATATACAGCCATTGCTTTTGTTAAAAGTTTGAGTATAAGAAACAACTACATAATGTTTTCTCTGTTCAATGTATGAGCTACCTTTCCTTTTTTCTCTTCTTTTATTTTCCTTGTGATTTTGTTTGTATATTATTTTGTGTATGTACATTTGTATATATTATTGTGGAAATGTGAAGTTGTGATTAATACTCAATGACAATAATTGTTACTAAATCAACAAATATTTGATACATGTGTATATAGATATGATAAAAAAAATCTTTGTAAGGTATGGAAGGAGGTGCCCTCGACCCCCACATACCCATGACGAGGGAAATAAAAAAAAAATATAATGATTGTAAAGATATTTAGGAAGGGCATAGTTATGATGAAATAAAATATGTAATTGTAGTTCACGTCTCAGTATCAAGACATGGTGAAACACATGTTGAGAATGCTAAGGAAAATGAATTAGAAAGCTGAATGAAATTTGGTAAGTATAAAAAACATTACATGTACAATATCAAAAAGATGGGTATTTGCATACACTGACAGGATAACAGGGCTTAGATTAGCTGTTAGGGGTTTTAAGAAGAATGTAACATCAAATCAGTTTCATCAAGATTTTATAAAGAATGGTTGAGAATGTTTCTTTCTGCCTTTGTTACTAAATAATACAATTGACATTTAACTGGCTACCCTTTTGCAGGGCAAAAATATTCAACAAGCAATTTTTGTGCATCCTCCAATGTGGTCTTGATAATTATGTGTTGTGGTAAATGAATATATGTTTAAACACAGTTTAAACTACTTTACTGTTTCCTTGGTTTCACAAAGGAAACTTAAAAGACATATTTCCCATGCATGCGATTGACATTGAATGGAAAGGCTGTATTTATTTTGCCTTTTAGAAGGAACTTATTTTTCGGGAAAGAATCAGATAATAACTTCAAGTATATTGGTTAACAAACTGAACAAGATCAGCAAGACTGCATTGATGAATTTAAATATGTTGACATGGAAACAGATTCCAGAAATGTATATGGTCAAATAAACTTTAAAAAAGTGTAATGGCATCGAATAGCTACTTAAACAAGACCTGATATTTGCTTTGATGTGTCAGAGCAATCAACAGTCATTCCGCATCAACATAATTATGCAATGCTTAACTAGTCAAAAAGAACAAAATGATAGGAAGTATATGAGCACTCAATAATAGCTAGTTTTTCCATTAATTAGTTTGCTTGAAAATTCTGATCTGTTACTGACGAATCAAATGCTTATTTGTCAGATAAAGTGTCTAGTTTAGGAGGTTATTTTATTGAAAGGCAGACATGGATGATTATGCTTAATATAATGGACATAAAAGAAAATTAAAAGGGTAGTAAGAAAAACTTTGACTGCAAAGAAAATGTTTTATGCTTAATTTCTAAGCTCTAGTTATTTGGTATTTTTAAGAGAAGACTTTTTTAACTTTTTAATATATACATAATTTCACGGAAAATCAATGACCCCCGAGGTGGGGCCAATTATGACACCATGGCTTTTATTTGAACAAATTTGGTAGACACAAACTAGAAGATGTTCAGCCAAGTATCATAACTAAGCTTTAGCTCTTTGGTTTTTTTAAAAGAAGATATTTTAAGTTTTTCTTTCGGGTTTCAGAGTTCTGCATGGAATTTAATTCTTTGAACAATTTTTAAAGGTTACCACCAAAGAAACATTCCTGTTAAGTTTAAATTAAATTAGCTTAGCGGTTTATGAGTTTACAGTTAAAGTGTACGGACAGACGACGAACGGCCGGATGACGCACACCGGACAAAAAACGATCACAAAAGCTAAAGGTGATCTAAAAAGTAGAAACAGGTTCTTTATCTAAAGAGGCCTTAAATAGCCAACAAGTAGATTCTTTTCCGAAAAACGGTACTAAACCTTCAATCAAGCGAATCTGAATGGTTCAATCAAACTAGGACAAAGCCGTACTTAACAAACTTCAAGATATAAATCATTGTCTTAACGTACTGTCATTTCTGTCTCTTCTAAAAGTCGTGATCAAGTAGTTCTGTATGGATGTAGAATAGGACACACTAGAGTTAGACTCCGCTGAATATCATGACAATATTAAGAAAAGGATGTTTGCTTTTTGTATGAAGAGGAGACAACAATTGAGTATCCCTCAAAATACTAAATGGTAACTTTATTTAGATATTCTACAAAAATATCAAGTCAATAAATGGCTTATATAATGAAAACATAAATACCTCTCCGACGGATAAGCTTCTTTATGGTGTCAATCTGGTCAACCATTTTGTCGGACTGTATTTTAAATTTTGTTGAATCCACTATAAGGCATACTAGATGAACTTGATCGTTAATCGTAGGATTGGTATTTGTTATAATTATATCATCACGTGCTGGAGACTTGTCAGGAAACTGGTTAAAATATTTCAAATTTCTTTAATAAACTTTGAATAAATCAGATAGATCTTTTACTCAGGAAATGTTTGTATATCATTTATCTATTCTTCCTGCTTAAAGTCTATTAACCTTATTGTTTTCGAAACATGTATCAATTAAAATTTTGAAGGTGTTGCTTGTTCAATTTACAAATCTGATATTATTTGAACAGGCTCTACGATTTTAAACAAACTTTAACACATTCATGCAAGTTGAATGGTAAATTGTTAAAAAGAATAAATTATGTATTGATTTACTTACCTCGTATCCATCTGCTATTTTTCCATCCAGAATTAAGTCTAGCTCATGCTCGTAGCCTCGTTCTTCTTCATACCCACGAATGTCCAGTAGTTTGATGTTGATTTTATCTCCATTTTCATTCAAGATATCATAGGCATGTACCTGTATATGTAAACAAAGAAAGGATGTTTGCAGTAAGTGATTTACTTATCAATACTTCATTGTACAAGGGCATAAAAAACATGTAATACAGCCTTTAGATATATTTTTTTGACGGGGAATAAAAAGTCTAGCCTACGTTCATTAAGATTTCATTTATGTTTAAAGCAATCAAATATCAAAATTCATCTCTGAAAAATGTGTATAAGTCGTTTTTTAATGCGTTGAAATTTTAACATATATGTCGACTGATCTCATCGTATTTGACTGTTTATTTTATATACATTAACTAATCATTATGATAAAGAAGTAAATTAAACGAAACAATCGGTGATCATGTTTAAAGTACTGCCAAAGTCTATAAATAGGCACTTGCATTGCTATTTTTAATATATTTAAAAAATGTATATATATTGCAATATCGGTTAAAATTTAAAATCTAATGATGAAACAATTAATTTTCAATGATTTAAAACGTCCAGTTACGCCATCATAACAACTTTAAGTACATGCATGCGTGTTGTTATCTAAAACATAAGAAACATACTAGTTTTAAAACGACCCAGTTTCAGATATTTACAATCGATATTAGTCTCTTAATATAATATGATAATGATGATGAGAATAGATTTTGAATTCTTAGTCAAAAGTTTCCTAAACATCATATGGAAATATAGTCATTTGTTGTGAACCTCTTGCAAAAATAGCTAAAAAGCCCGAAAATAAGTAATATAGTAATCTTTAACATCGTTATCATAAAGAGAATATTTGTATCTGAAATATTGCACATGTAAGGGAAAAGTTACTTATTGTTTAACAAATTCAATGAATTTGTTTGGAAGTCAGTCAATCCAATGGCAGATTTACATTGCTATTGAAAGTTAATGTTTACTATGGAAGTCAGTAGTTGCTATATAAAAAGTCAATGACTGCTATGTAAAAACACTGGTCAATAGTTGTTATAGAAAGCAAATGGTTACTATGGAAATTCAATCTTAGCTTGTTATTGAAAGACAATAGTTGCTCCGAAAGTCCATGGTTGCAACAAAAAGTCAATGGTTGCTATGGAGTCACATATTGCTTACGGGTGTCATTGTTGACTGTGGAAGTAAATGGTTGCTGTAAAATTAACTGGTGAGGAAGACAAAGGTTGCTATGGAAAGTCAGTGGTTGCATTGGAAAATCAGTGGTTGCGATAGAGGTCACTGGACGCTATGAAAGACACTGGTTGCTATGGAAGTCACTGGCTGCTATTAAAAGTCACTGGTTGCTATGGGAAGTCACTGGTTGATATGGAAACTTAGTTGTTGATTTTGGAGTCACTGGTTGCTATGAATAGTCAATGGTAGCATGTAAGTCACTGGTTGATATTGAAACTTACTGTTTGCTTAGTATGGCAACGGATCCATCCATAACAATGGAAGTCAATGGATCTCATGGAAGTCAATGGTTGCTATGGGTGTTCAGTGGTTGCAATAGAGGCCACTAGTCATTATGAAATGGCAACTGCTTGCTACAAAAAGTCAGCGAGAACTATTGGAAGCCACTGGTTGCTATTGAAAATCGGTGGTTGTTATAGAAGCCAATGGTTGCTATGGAAAGTCAATGGTCAATGGAAGCTATGAGAAGTCATAGGCTGCTATGAAAGATTAGTTGAATTAGTTGACAAGTTAGATCTCTGGGCTATGATTTTTACAAACTTGGTAGAGGTCAACATTATAATGTTGTTTGCCAAATGTCTATGTTCTAGCTCTTGAAAGGTTTTACTTTATAGATAATAAGAAAATTCATTACCCCTGAGGCGTGGCCAATTTAAACTCCAGCGCTTTAATTTGAACAATATTGTGATATTATTATAATAATTCCTTGGGCTATAATTTGAACATACTCGGTGAAGGTCTTCTAAAAATGTTTCATGTAAAATTAGCTCCTGCAGTTTTAGAGAAGAATAATCAGTTTAAGAGAAGAATAAAATTTTAATGTGAACAAAAGGTCTATTTATTAATGTTACACACCAAAAAATACAAGCTAAAGTTTTCATGGTATTAGAGAAGAAGAATGTCTACTATACTTGTTATATTTTTACTATAAACATACAAAGAAAATCTATGTTCCCCAGGGCAGGGGCAATTAGGCACAAGGGCTTAAATTTGAACAACTGTGTAGAGGTCCACCACACAATATTTAATGCTTAATATATAAACTTATAGCCCTTGCAGTATTTAAGAAGAGTTTTGAAGTATTAACATTACAATATAAAAGAAAAAAGCATTTATTATGCTACACACAAACTATTTTAAGTCTATGGCTTGCTCTTTCAGCGAACAGGGCTCTTCTGACGTGGAGCAGAATCGTTTGAACAATTTTAGAAGAGTTTCATGCAAGGAACGTACCAGGAAAGTTAAATCATATTTCACACGGTAGTTTCTAAGGAGAAGTCATTTGAATAAAAAGTGACGACTGACGCATTTATGGATGCCACAAGAAAGGCAAATCAAAAGTCCCAAAATATTGGCCAGAAAAAAAGCGTACCTCGTTTGTAACACTACTCAGTTCTTCAGCTGTAGGGGCAATATCTTTAACTTTATTTTCGAAAACAGTTGCTACTGTGTTGTAAAAACTGGACTTTCCAGCTCCAATCACTCCAAGAAGAAGAATATTGTAATGTTGTAAACCTATTCCAGTTAAAGGTTCGATGTTTTCCAGATTATTTTTCATCTTCTTCATATCGTCGTCCTATATTCAAATAGTAAGAGAGATTAAGATATTCCAAAGAATGATATTTACAAAATACATGAATT